CATATAAATCCCCGCACCAAAAATGTATGCAAATTTACAGGACTAACCTGCCTCACACAGAAAATTTTCATGGAAATTAGGTCACAGATATAGCCAGCTTTAAGAGCTTTGAAGGCATTCTGAGGTATAAACTAAGGAAACATTGAGGCCAATCTCAAATAAGTAAGCTATTGCAAAACTCCCCTTAGAAAATAAAAGCTGATTCCACTATAAATAAATTTAAACCTGATCAGAAGAGCCACAGAATATGTTTAATCTGTGTGAACTATAAATATAAGAAGGCACTTATACCTTCATGTCCTAACTGTTGCTAGGGTTTGTGCAGCTAGATGAGTAGCAAAGTTTAGATGTTTTAAATGCAAGGTAATTTTGCAAGTGTTTTTAATGTATAAATCCACTTCTAACTTTCATTTAGATATCTGTTAAATATGTCTTACCATCTCAGAAATGGTTTCCTCCCCACAACAATTTTCAATCTTTTGTTATTCTCTAGGTGGTTGAATTTTCTTTTGAATTTCTCTTGATAGTATTTGTCAATACTGGTGTCAGAGGGTGATATTACTTGTGATTTTCTGATGTTTCTTTCATTTCCCATTTTGGAAAAACAAAACAAAAATGGGTCAAAGGGTCAAAGATGACTCGCTTTATATTACCTGCATCAACTTCCAGCTTGCAGTTTGCCAAACAGAAACGGGAAGATGATTACATTCCTAGGGAGGAGGGAGAGCTAAGGAATTATGAGAGCCTTCTTCTGCCAGAGAGGAGCTACCCACCAAGGCCAAATTCTTGGAGCTACCAGCTAGAGCAGACTGTTTTCCCAAAACAAAAGTACTGAAGGTGGACAATGAACTGTGGCAGTGGTGGGATTCAAATTTTTTTACTACTGGTTCTGTGGGTGTGGCTAATTTGGTGGGTGTGGCTTGGTAGTCATGTGACTGGGTGGACGTGGCTTGGTGGTCATGTGACTGGGTGGGCGTGGCTTGGTGGTCATGTGACTGGGTGGGCGTGCTTGGTGGTCATGTGACTGGGTGGGCAAGGCCAACTCGACATCACTCATGTCAAGGGGCATTTCGCCCAGTCCCTCCCCTCCCAGCCACTCCTTGTTACCCCCGGTCTCAATGTATCTATAGTTCTGTAAAAAATTTCACCTTTTTTTGACTTTATTATCTGCATCCACATACTATAGATGTATTTTTATGGACCACTGAAAGGAGGAAATAGCTCACATGCTTTGCCCAAAAGTGTGATAGGCAGGTCACAAAACAGGGTTTTGAGGGATTGCCACAAAGAAGGGGGGCAATGTATTTTCCAAAGCGGCAGAAGGCAAAACAAGAAGCAATGGATCAAAACTGAACAAAGAAGAAGCAACCTAAAACTAAAGAGAAATTTCCTGACAGTGACAACAATTAAACAATGGAACTGCTTGTCTCCAGAAATTCTGGATGCTCCAGCACTGTAGGTTTTCAAGAAGAGACTGGACAGCCATTTCTCTGAAATGGTATATAGGGCAGGGCTCTCCAACCTTGTCAACTTTAAGACTTGTGGACTTCAACTCCCAAAATTCTGGGAGGAATTCTGGGAGTTGAAGTCCAGAAGTCTTAAAGTTGCTAAGGTGGGAGACCCCTGGTATAGGGTCCTCTCCAAGGATTATTCTGACACTTTTACCTGGCCCTCCACTCAGACTTGATATCCTCAGTTTTCCTGCCTGAGCAAAGGATTGGATTAGAAGACCTCCAAAGTCCCTTTCAGCTCTGTTATTCCGTTATTCCTAAGTTAAATAGGTAAGACCCTCATTGGGACCCTATCTCTTTTGCTCCCTCTGGACTAATGGGTTAATAAGGTTTTTAGAAACTTGCAGTTGAAAGCTCCTTATGTCTCCTTACCCTGAAGACCCAATTTCATTTGGAATTTAATCCCAAACTGATTGCACTTTTAGTATTTCTCTTGACACTTCTCAAAAATGCACCCCCAAGAAGCCACATGTCTCCCCCCCACACACACACACATACGAGAGGTTGGATTGGATATCTTCCTCCCTCCCCCTCTGCTTTAGGCTTAGAAAATCTGCCAGTGCTGCTCTTCATTTGGCAATGCTTAAGGAGAATTAGGGGCTAGAGAGAGTTGACATTCTCATCTCTGCTACAGGTGAGGCTGTCCGAAAGACATTTTGGCAGGCACGCAATGCCTTCTCCTCAGCCTCTCAGCACTAATGAGAGATGCGGCTCTACTGGCCAGGGTAGGCAAAGCCTCTCATTTTGTACAAACCATCTGCTACTGGCAGATACACACTTATGGGTGGTGTGGGTGGGTCCATTCAGGGCACTGAAGTTCTGTTGCTAGCCTGGCAGTCACAGGGTTTTTGTTTTTTTAAATAATAATTTCCACTACGGGAAGCTACCGAAATGGGAATTGTGCCTCTGCCTGCATAACTAGAGGGAGACTCTCCACCCCACAAAAACCAATGGTTTGAAAGCAGCTCCTCTGCTACCCCCCCAATTCCCCCGCTGCCTTCCCCATGGGGGGAATTGCAAATGTGGCATGCCATTTGAGTGGGAAATGCCTGAAACACAATAAAGCCCACCCACTCACCTCCTGCTGGTAGGCTGGTTAATGGGGTGAGAGGAAAGGCGGAGAAGGGGAGCCGATCGGAGCCTTCCGAAAGAAGAGGGGTGAAAGAAAGTGCAGTTTGCTACGGATGCCCTCCATCGCCATTTTGCCTGGATTCCCTCCTGCGGTCACCTCAGTGCTTCCCCTCCCCAGTCTATCTTGATTGCAGGCAGAGCCACATTACCTTTTGCAAGCCTGCTGTCGGTGAAGCTGGGTTCCAGTAAGGGCTGGCTTTTTGCATAGCTTTGTCCAGCTATCGGGGGGGGGGGGGGAGAGAGTGGCTTCCTCCCCAGGCCCCGTCTGTTTTCTCCCCAACAGCTGGATAAAGCTAAGCAAAAAGACAGCCCTCACTGGCGCCCAGCTTCACCAACAGTGGGCTTGGAAAGGGTAATGTGGCTCCACCTGCAATCAAGATAGACTGGGGAGGGAGAGAGCGTGAGTGAGCCAAGGCCTTTCCCTCCAGCCTTTGCCCAAAGTCCCTTGCCACACCAGGAGGTTGAAGTTTGAATTTCTTCACCCACTCCTACCCATGCATACCTTGGCAACGGGAGTTTCTCTCCACCCCCTTTTCCAGCTACTAGACCAGGGAGATGAACCTAGCTTTGCTGCCCATTGCATAGCAAATAGGAATCTAAAATCCGAGAAAGAAAGACAAGTTGCGCTTTGCTTCTGCACAGTAAGGCCGTCACTACTGCTCACCTGCGCCGCCCCCAGCATATTGATACCACAGCACCATTATCTTTAGGGAGCTGCAGTCTCAAAGATTGTGCGGCAAGAGAAAAGGCAGCCATGTGTGTTGCTGCTGCCATTCCAGAGGGCTACCTCGGGAGTGAGGGGGAATAAAGAGGCCAGCTGGCACGCAAAGGTTTACTTACTTGCTTTGTTGTCCCGCTTCCGCTGCCTTTTCTCGGCTTTCCTCGTCTTGCAACCAGCTTTCTCATTTAGGGAGCCGCTCCTGACAAAAAAAAAGGCCAACTAAAGATCACGACTGCCTGCCGAGTCTGCCTGCTGAATGGGTTTTGTTTTGGGGTGGTTTTTGTTTTGTTTTTTTGCCAGAAGCCCCTCGGAGATAAATTTGCACCACCAAATCTTTCTGTACCTCATTGTTGTGGTGCAGCCTGTTGCTGTTGTGGGTGCTGCTGCAGCCGTCTAGCTGCCTAAGTAAAGAACCACACCAGCTCAGGGCAACTCTGAGGAGCAAGAGGGGAAGCCAAGGCACTCACCTCATAGCAGTCAACTTCGCTCTCTCGCTCTGGTTAGGTGCTCCCAGCGTGCACAAGGAGCATGAAGGGAGGCAGCCGGCGCATAGAACAGGGCGGCGTTGGACCATTGGAGAAGTGGAGCGAAGCTGGAGATCAGTAGCCACCTCTTTTGCAGCATGGAAATCCTCCCCGAATCGGGCAGCTGGTCATCTCCTTCTCTGCCTATTTATTCTGTATGGCCAAGGAGGAGACCAGCCGGCCGATTTGGGGAGGATTTCGTGCTGCAAAAGAGGTGGCTACTGATCTCCGGCTTCGCTCCACTACTCCAATGGTCCGGCACCACCCTGTTCTATGCGCTGGCTGCTCGAACTTGCCAGGACTGGCACATAGAACAGGGTGTGCTGCAGGCATCTCGTGACAAGGGGGGGCGAGAAGCCCCAGGATATCCACCCAGCCACCTGCTGGATGGGCCGGGCTGGGCCAGGCTGGAAGAGGCACTTCCACCGGGAGAAGGAAGAAAATGTCCTCTGGGAGGGCGGCAGGTGGGCAGATGTCCGAGGGCTGCTGCACATGCGCACTGCATGTGTAGCAGCTGCACATGTAGTGCATATGTGCAGCAACCCTGGGACATCCACCCAAGCTGCCACAGCTGCCACTGGTAGGAAAAGCTAGGAGAGTGACCAGGGCAAGTGGGTGACCGGGTGACCGGGTTGGGGGCGTGGCCAGCCAGGGGTCGCCACCGGTTCGGCAACCCATGCCAAATCACCGCTACCGGTTCACCTGAACTGGTGTGAACCAGTTGAATACCACCTCTGAACTGTGGGTGCCCCAGGGGTGAAAATGGGCTTTTACCTATGTGGGTATATATGTTGAATTCCAATATTGCATGATCACTCTCCCCGAAGATTCCTGTAGCTGCAACACTGTCTATCATTTCATCTCTGTTATCCAAAGAGATGGCTTGAATTCAGAATGTCTTTTCTTAAATTAGATAAATTCTATTTTATGTTTCAGAAAAACCCCAGGTTAGTCAAACCAGTTATATGCATTATTGTGTTTGCAATCTCCTAGGAGTCTTTCTATAGAGTTTTTCCTTATACATAGTGATATTTTAAATGTAATTTTCCTTTTCAAAAATTATACTGTATTTTGAAATAAAACTTTTTCTTCTTTTCATCATTTATTTTACAGGACAGATTCTCCAAGTATTAGATCAATGGAACTTAAGCAAGCATACTCTTGTATATTTCACTTCAGATCACGGAGCACATCTTGAAGAAATATCAGACAATGGAGAAGTCCAAGGTGGTCATAATGGAATATTTAAGGGTAGGAGCCAGCTTTTTACTATTCACAAATTCTGTTCAATTGTCCTCATAGTTAAAGTAACCTACATTTTTTTTAAAAAGTGGATATATATTTAGAAAACAGCTATGAATACAGTTCTTTTGTTGGGACATTTTAGTCATATCAATAGAGCCAGGTGTGTCATTAGATATAAGGAACAGCAAGAAGTAGTGTTGTGATCAAACATGCCATTTTCTCTGATATGCAAACAATGGTGTACATAGTTGAGGGAAGTAAATAAAAATAGCAATGCAACAAATTTCGTGTTTTGAAAAAAGCATTTTTGTACATGAGTTCATGTCACACACATGCACAAAAAAGGTAAGGTTTGCATCACACTTCCACCTTCACCATTTATTTACTTTTCATTTTTTTAAAATTTCCCTTTTCCCCATGAATATCACTGAATGCAGTCCATTTTTATTCCTTGTCCATGTGTGACTCATGTTCTTTGCCCAACAAAGCAAAATACCTTAGATTTTCCATGCATATATGCATAAATGTTAAAACTCCTAATGAATAGGTTTATACAATAATTTTGTCATATTGCCCATTTGATCTTTCTCTCTGTGTTTGTGTGCCAAAGTTTGTGTGTGTATGTTTGTGTGCCAAAGTCCCTTTTTGACTTTGATAACTGCCTGTAGTAGTAGAAACCCTGAGGATTTCTTGCCAAGATTTTTGGAAGAGATTTGTCATTGCCTTCTTCTGAGGACTGAGAGCGAGTTTTTGGCTCAAGGTCATTAAGTTGGATTTGTGTCTAAGATCAGAATAGAACTCATAGTCTTCCAGTTTCTAGCTTTATGCCATAACCAATACAACCATTATTCATTTTATCTAACACTTATAAAACTTAAATTCAACAGAGTAGAATAGAATAGAATAGAATAGAATAGAGCAGAGCAGAGCAGAGCAGAGCAGAGCAGAGCAGAGCAGAGCAGAGCAGAGCAGAATAGAATAGAATAGAATAGAATAGAATAGAATAGAATAGAATAGAATAGAATAGAATAGAATTCTTTATCGGCCAAGTGTGATTGGACACACAAGGAATTTGTCTTGGTGCAAATGCTTTCACTGTACATAAAAGAAAAGATACATTCGTCAAGAGTCAAGAATCATCAGGTACAACACTTAATAATAGTCATAGGTGTTGTGATTCTTAATAATAGTCATAGGTGTTGTGTGCTGATGATTCTTGATTCTTGACGAATGTTATCTTTTCTTTTATGTACATAGCAAAACTCATTACATTGCTTACTTCAATACCCAGTAAGCACACATCATGTTATTTATCTCTACATTGTATCATATTTGAAAGCATAACTAGCAATGATGGACTCTATCCAATGATAATGCCACTTGCCTACTAATAAGAACTACATGTACTCTAGATAGAGTATTAAAAAGTGAAAACAAGTTAACTGCAGAAAAGTCTAGCAAGAGAAATATCTTAATGATTCTTCAAGTGACAATCATATAAAGCTGGGATAAGGTAAAATAAACAGAAGAAAATGAAGGAAGATAGAATATCAGTCCTAAATAATAGCCAGAACCAAATGTTAGCAAGACACAGTAACTAAATCAAGTCACTGTAGCAATTCATTATTGGTAATGAATTCCTTTTTGTTACCAGATTTATTTTTATTACATTATGAACTCCATGTCAGGCACATAAATCAGTAACCAGGGTTGTTTAAATGAGTACAAGCGTATTCAATGCCATTTCTCTACAAGAATCTGATCAAAAGGACAGTAGATAAGAGTCAATAGAATTCAAGGAGGGTTGGATTTACCTCTCTTGTGGGTGCAAATGGACTCCAAACTTATGATATACTTGATCCCTCTCTTGCTCTCAGCCTGGTCATCTCTACTGATGAGTCCTTTCAAGGCAGAAATGACTGTATTAATTATAAATACAGGCAGTCCCTGACTTACAACAGTTTGAAGTAACAACAGCACTAAAAAAAGGAACTTATGATCATTTTTCACACTTATGACTGTTGCAGCATCCCCATGGCCACATGATTTACATTCAGCTGCTTGATGACTGTCTCATATTTATGACAGTTGCAGTGTCCCAGAGTTATGTGATCCCCTTTTGCAACCTTCTGAGAAGTAAAGTCAATTGGGAAACCAGATTCACTTAATAACCATGTTACTAATTTAAGAATTGCAATGATTCACTTAACAAATGTGGAGAGAAAAGTCATAAAATGGGGCAAAACTCAACAAGTTTTTCAACAACATAAATTTTGGGCTCAATTGTTGTCATATGTTGAGGATTATAAATTTACAAGCAACCAAAGAATAACAGAATGTGCAATTAAAAGTTTAAAAAAATGTACAGTAACAAGAAAGGGTATAAAGCTTCCTTAATTTATCTTAGGAATTTTATGAGCCTGTTAAAAGACTCACAAGGAACGACCTAATTAACATTTGGAAGAGGTCCCACATCAAGTTATAGTTGTATTGCTGCCACCTGAAAAATTAAAAACATACTCCTGGATACTTTTCACTTTCCTATCCATGTTATCTTCAGTCCCAGCATCTGGTCCTGTTGCAATGGTTATACTGCTGAATGAAGTCCCAGCTTCACCCAGTTTACATACTCCTGATGTGATTACAATTAAAAGAGTCAACTAGCATGGCTGAAAGCATTTTTGGTTTTACATTCACAGAGTCAGTATACTCCCAATAGATGTGATAAATGATGAGCTGGAAGAGATGGCTGTAAACAAATAGCAAGGCAAATTCACTAACTGCTTTGTTAGTATCAAGGAAGTTCCTTATCATCAGGGGAAAAAGTAATCTGAGACAATTAGCTTTTTCTTTCTATGCTCTTCCCCATTTCAAAAATGTTCCATGTTTTTATTGTCTGTAATAAGTACTTCTTCCTATCTCTTTTAAGATGACATCTCACATTTTCTAATTCACAAACTACTATAAGGCTCAAGTTTCATATCACAGAAACAGTAGCAGTATCAGGTTGTGAAATTAAGTTTCTAATTTGTTTAATAAGCTTCCTGGGCTCAAGAGACAAGAAGACAATATATCAAAATTCTGATTGCCTACTTATGAAGTATATGAGGATGTAATTTAAGGAGCAGTGGTGGATTAAACAAGTGACCAAATGGGTAATTCTATATTATTAAAAGGGAAATGGAGAAACTGTTTTATTTAATTTAAGAACAAATAGGGCAGCAAAGAGGCCATTTATTTCAAAAATAGATACTATTTCTATTTCCCTATGATTATATAGCAGAGTTTTTGATCCCACCCACTTTTCATTCTGGCTTCACCATTACTTCTAAGGTGCAAATGTTGCTTCCTCAGTTATCTTTACCTTTCTTTGTTGCTTCCCACTAACTCAACATTCAATTGGAACATAATCTTGGCATGCTTAGATTAAGATATTTTATTTTGCAAAAAATATTCATAAGTGTATGTTCAGTACTAGTGAATGTGCAAAAATTGAATTTGCTTTTGTCTTAATGGGAATCAATGTAGCAGAAGAAATCTCAACATATGAACCATTGTTGCATTTTGAGCACAGCATTAATTAGTTTAACTCATCAATTATTTATGGAAAATGCATAGGTATCAGAAAGTGTGCATAAATATTTAACTAAGTATGCCATGCTTATTCTTTCTGTTTTTCCTTTTTTACCCCTTCTTTTGCACAGTATCTACATATGAAAAAAACAGAATAGGGAGGCTCAATATCAGATGTGTTCTATTCAAGCTACAGAAAAAAACACAAATAAAAATGAAATATTATAATTTTTCAGCCAAAGACTCTGAAGTTTCAGCCAATGATTACGAGTTTATATAAACAGAAATTAGACTGCAATTTTCAATCATGGTAGCATTTGTGATGAGGGCTCTTTCTAAAATGTATCCTTTGCATATGAGCATGTGATTATGAATCCATCAAATTAACCTTCTCATCTGAGAAGCTGAAATCTACTTAACAGTAATTGCACTAGTCTAGTTTAAAAGCTCTCATCACATCTTCACAACTGAAATTTAGTTGTTTATCTTATGATTAGTCAGATAATAAGATATAACAATTTCTGAGAACTTAATGGCTGACTTAGAGAGTCAATTTGGTGTAGTGGTTAAAGCACTAGGCTAGAAACCCAGAGACTATTAGTTATAAACCCTCTTCGGGCAGGAAGCCAGCTAGGAAATAATGGGGCACTCATTCTTTCTCAGCCTTAGATATTTAGCAGTATCATCTGAGTTGTATCAACTGCAGCAATAGTATCAGGTTAATTTGTGGATAAAATGCAATCTATAATCCTTTGATCTGTTTTTTTTCAGGCCAAGGACAAAGTTAGCCTTTGGATAAAACATGGAGGCACTCCTAAAATAATTTTAATCTCTTTTTATAGATGCAACGAGTCTTTTCAAAGGAGGTTGCATTTAAAGTTGGAGTTGTTAAGTAGGAAAACAGTTTTCAATTTATATATTGTTAAAATATTTACATATCTTGTTAAAAATTGACAATACAGTGTAATAAGTCAAGAGTTAGTTCATGAGTTATTTTTATTTGGTTGTCCAGATGCTTAATCACCTGTCACATATTCTGGAAAGTATATTCAGCTTCTACTGTAAGTTTTCCTAACTGTCTCATCTAAAAATGGTATATGGATACAAAATAAACAATTTCTCTTGATCCAACATTTTTATTTACTGAAGGATTCTACAACACAATCATTTCATACCAATTTCACATCAAGTTAGTAAAGAAACAGTATTACTGGACTGATTCTCAATTTAATGTCTATTATTCTAGTAGATATGTAATATATATTTTCTTGATAATTGTTATTACCATCAATTTGATAAAAAGAAATATAATCATTTAATTTATAGTCACAATAAATGTATCTAACATATCTTTATATCTAAGATTGGGCTTTTTCAGACTAACAAATGCCAAACTATCAGAATTTCTTCTATACTTGAGATAATGAAAATGAATTGGATTTGGCAATATATTTGAAATTAATAATTCAGTCTTGGATTTAAGAACTGCTTTACTGAATCAGCCTCAAAATCCATCTTTTGGATTCTGACATTAGTTGCCTCTTGGAAGTTCATTAAGTAACATGTGCTCCTTCCAATGTTTGATGAGTACTTTATTCTGTTATAAATTCTGACTAAGCAATCCTGGCCAAATCTCATGTCTAGAAATATTAGGTTATCTTTTAAAAAAACTAGAAGGAAGACATATTTTATTTATTTATTCTTTATTTTCTTTATTTGCAAAACACTGATGATGATTATAAAAATATTTTACATTGTATGCTTGGGTTTTTTTCTCCAGAAAGAGCAACTTTTTTTTCTTTCTTTCAAGATGATACATTACTTCTTATGAGAGAAAAAAAGAGAAATGTTTCTTTTAGTACAATTCTTGATCTCATTAGGTTTTTTTTAAAAAAAGATATTTTTTTATTAAAACTAATGTTTATCTTCATTTAATACTTTTGTCTTCATTTAAAAAAATATGTCCAATAAACATACTCTGTATTTTATTATTTAATGGTTAAGGTACTCAGTTAACCTATTCAGTTAAATATTGACTGTTGTGTTCTAATCCAAAGAATAATAACTTGAAATTAAATTAGAGTTTTTATTTCAGGTGGAAAGTCTACAAATTGGGAAGGAGGGATTCGAGTGCCTGGCCTCCTCTACTGGCCTGGTGTTCTTGACCCCGGAAAACATATTTATAACCCAACAAGTAATATGGATATATTCCCTACCATAATTAAACTTGCTGGAGCATCACTGCCCAATGACCGGTATAGAACCTAATTCCATTTGTTATAGAAGAGGTAACTTAAAAACACATGGGTCTGGCAGTTCTGAAGGAATTATAAGTATAATCATTATTTATGGGATAATGTAATAAATGTCTTCTGTAGCAAATATAACTCAATTATTACTTGAAGAAATGGTATAATCTTTACATAATAGTTGAGGTATAGTTGCTCCAGAATGGCATTCATACTGTTTTTTTAATTTCTCCATAATTCTAAACAGTCATTTCTGGCCTACAGCCAGAATCCACATTTTATCCTGTTTGACTAAATCAGTCTCCTGTCTCTTATTTATGACTCCTCACAGACGCTGACAAGTATCATGAAAAAACCAAACACACACAAGAAATGAATTTTTTTGATTCATGAGATTATTTTCTCATGTAAAGGAGCTATCTGAACATTGACCAATAAAAAGCATGCAGCAGATACATTTTAGTTTCCACGTTAGTATTTGAACTATATTGCACTCAAATTATTATTCTAGTTATAACAGTGGATTCCTTGTACTTTGTACTTACAGGAAAAGACATAGCAGAAGAGGGGAAAAGATATTAAAATTACAAATAGTAACTTTTTGTTCTTCCATTCAGCTTAGTGAGTGCAGATTTCATGGACATGTAGCAATTTGTAAAGCTTTCCTTAGCACATGAAGAATTAACTTTGAATTAAGTTTATGTGTCAACACTGCAACAATTAAATAATTCATTAGTAAAGGCCATATTAGCAGTGGAATGTGGTACAGACTTTCTAATATATTTCAGTAGAAAAAATATATAAAGCTAGGCATTTTCAGTTGATAAATAATAGCCCTGTCTATATAAGAGGGCACAGTTCTTAAATTTATACATCCTTAATATAAAACACATACTTGGGACAAATTACTGTGCTTAGAAATAAATATATACAAATTCTCCATAAGGCTACAATATAGTTTGTACTTGAGTTACAGAAGACAGATTCCAATTGAACATTAGAAAAATTGCCCAGCAATAACACTTGTTCAACAGTAGAACCAATTAGGAACAGAATTAGAATTCTTTTTTATTGGCCAAGTGTGATTGGACATACAAGGAATTTGTCTTGGTGCAAATGCTCTCATAAAAGAAAATATACCTTCGTCAAGAGTAAAGAATCATAAGGGACAACACTTAATAATAGTCATAGGGTACAATAAGTAATTGAATCGTATTAGGAAACATTCAATATAAATCGTAAGGATACAAGCAACAAATTTACAGTCATACAGTCACAAGTGCGAGGGGATGGGTGATAAGGAGTGATAAGAAGATTAATAGTAATAGTAGTGCAGACTTTGTAAATAGTTGAACAGTGTTGAGGGAATTATTTGTTGATGAGGCAGATTTTCCTTCACTGGTTGTGTTCAAGTAGAGTTAGAAAGCCATTGTAAGAATGTATAACTGGATTTCTATACTCTGTAAGGAATGACCCAAGTGTCCCTTCCAATATTTCAATTCTATGATTTCAATTCCCTTTGGGTACACTAAATAAAGTGCTGGAAATACAGCCAGGTTTGTTTTTTGTTTATTTATTTATTTGTTTTTATGGCCGCCCATCTTAGGCAATGATTCTGGGTAGCTTTCAATTAAAAAAGTATGTTACAGCTGAAAATATTATAAACATTTTAAAACAACAAAAATACTAAAATCAATAAAAAACACTGAGCTGGTCCAGAAGGATATGATGATTGATGGTATCCAATGCCACTGATAGGTCAAGAAGACATAAAATGGATGTACTGCTTCCACTCCACGCCTGTCAGAGTTCATTCACGAGTATGTTTAGTGCTGTCTCAGTACCAAACCTTTTTCTGAATCCAGACTAAAGAGGGTCTAGCTAATCTGTTTTATCCAGGGCATGGGTCTAATACTCAAACGGTTGAACTCTTCACCCTGCAACACATAGCCCCACCCCACCCCATAGATTGCTCTACCACTGAAGTCCAAAGAATAGTGAATGTAACCAATTTTATCAGCGAGATGTACAGCATTTTCTTCAGTGATCCTTTAAGTAGACTTCAGCACTTCTCCCTCCAAGGAGGGATTGAGTGACTCAGAACAGAGCCACTGGGCAATTATTGGCAGATGCAATAAGGGCAGAGAAACACTTATGTTTCACCATCCTTATCACCATGAGGTAGGACTTAATATCTTAATACAGTGCCTTATTTTTCACTAGCAATACTCTAGGATCTCTTAGTCCACTTAAATTCCCTTAAGTCCGTCATATTCTATGGGAAGCATTGGGAAGCCTGGGCACAGAGAAGTTGTTCAGGTGAAATCAGATTTGAAGCCATTGCTGTTTTGCTATTCCATGTAGCCATAAAGGATTCAATTAGACCAAGTAGCAGGCTTGATGAATTAAGTTCCCTCTGGAACCCAACTGAGTCCATTAGTTGCCTGGGGAAGGCCTATCCAATAGGATTTCTGGAAGCTAAACTGCATATTGCACAGCATTTCCTGGCTTGCATTCACTCAGGGCCTGGCCAAGCCATGTCTGATAAGAAACAAAGGGCAGATTTTCCCATCCTTAATTCCATAGATAAGCATCTCAATCTTACTTCAACATTGATCCTTCATCATACAGTACACTTGTTCGATATTTTCAAGAAAGGGTTTTCCCATGAAAAACTGCAATGCATTTATTAATTATCAACATTTTTGCCTTTGTAAAAGGGGTTGCTTTACTTTGCTTAAAACAAGAACAATGCTACTTACAAATAAGTATATGCTTTAAGTCAATATCAATTTTAGCAACTTTTTGTGGAGGGAGAGGGAGAAGGAGAGGAAGAGATTGGGTGGTCACTTAATATATGGAATTAACTGCCAGAGGTATATATAGTGCTAGTGTTGTATTTATTAAAAAATGGAAATGTTTAAGTCACAACTTTGTTTTTTGGTCAAACCATTTATGGATTCTACTGATTCTAATATATTTTCTTTTTCAGAATTATTGATGGACATGATCTAATGCCCTTGCTTCAAGGCAATGCTCTCCAATCTGAGCATGAATTTCTCTTTCATTACTGTAATGGATATTTAAATGCAGTTCGGTGGCATCCAAGAAACAGTAAGTAAAATTGTCTGTTTAAATTTAAATATTTTATATAATTTTTATTATAGTTTGAAATACTCAAGGGAAGAGCTTTGGACTCTGGACATGGAAAAATTATTATTGTAACTCTTTTTTTGTAGAAAAATTATTTTGGTTTTCACAAAACATAATACAAATAAAATATCTTTTTTTGAGAATACCATAGTCCCAGGTTATCACTTTTCCATACAGATACAAACTCAATTTCATATTCATCTTTATGTTCTATTCCATATCTTATTACTATTTTAACATTTTCTCAATAATTTTTCCCTTCCCTTAGTTTTCTCAACCTTGCTTTTAATTATCTCATTCCTTTCTAAATTCAATTATATATATCTTTTTCTAAGTTTCAATATCTTTCTAATCATTATATTTATACTTTTGTCTGTCCTGTTTCAATTTCATATTTTCTTTTTTCATTAAACAAAATTTGCCCCTGTAGTTACTGATTGGAGTATGACACCTTTGTATCTTTTAATTTTTGTCCATTCAACTCTTATTTAAACTTCAGTTTATGGCTTTACAATTGTAACATTCAATATAACACATAACTTCCAGTCGAATTCTGCTTGGTACATTCTTAAAATACACACTAAATTCTTAAAGAGAAAGTATATATATATATATATAACAATAAATAAAATACTTATTCTATTCCAATTCAGCTCTATTATTAATGTTAGTTATAATCTTTAACATCTTTAACATTTCTTTTCAATGGAATATCATACTTCCTTAGGAACACTTATAATATTTCCATATTTTTTTCATATTTCTTTCATATTCCTCTTCACTTAAATTTTTATAACTCATTAATAATTAAAATGTTCCCATCCTTTCCAAATTTCATTCTCTCATTCTCTTTATTTCATTTATTTATTAACAAACATTACATTACATTACAATGGGTATTTTATCTATCATTTTAATCACACTTGTTTCATATTTTCTAAGTTCATTTCTATTTCTAATATAACAATACTATCTTATGTACCCTCACAGAATCCCTTTTTCAATTAAATTTTTACCCATTATTTCTATGTCTTCTAAATAGGCTTATACCTTTAATCCTTGTACGTTTTCCCTGTTTCTCTATATCCTGTTTCTGTCCTTTATAACTTCTTTTCCTTTCCCTCTTCATCCTCTTCTTCTCCCTCCCCTTTTTGACCCCTTGTCTCTCTAATTCTAATTCTCTCTTCTGTAATCCTCTCTTCTGTTTCTTCCTAATATTATAATTACTTTTCAAACTATTTTTTTTTTCTCAGATCTTAATTTTTTCACTCTCTTTCCCCCCCCTTTCCTCCCCCCCCCCACATAGAATTACTTGGTCATTGAAGATGGCTTCTTCTTTGTCCCACCCATCTTGTTCTACAGGCATTTCTTGTTGTTTCTCATAGTTCAGGGTCTCCATTTCTAAAAATTGAAATACGAAGCCAAAAAACCTCTTCCTTCTTGTGCATCTTCTTTCTGTTTTTTAAGTTCCATTTTCAGTTCTTCCAAGAGTGATACCATTTTAAAAACTTTTAAACAACTACTTGATTGATTTTAGTCCTTTAGATCCAGTAACCAAAAATCCAAAAATCACCGAGTAATCCAAATAATCCAAGCTGTTTCTTCTTGCTTCTTTTTTCCACTTTCTCTTCCTGGGGTTCTATTATCTTGTTACAAAGTTTCAGTTGGAATGTATCTTTTAGGAATCTTGTTAAAGTTTCACTGTTAATTCCTTTTACTTCCAAGTGGTCTCCTCCATTTTTCCAAATCCCACCCTTTTGTTTTTTTCCTTTTCTCTCCTTTCCTTCTTTTAAAAGTTTTTGAAAATCCAGAAGTCTTTATTATCCCTTTGACATTTTATTTTCAGCTTAAATGCCTATTAATGTCAAAGTGGATTTTTGTCAGTTTCTTACTTAAATCTCTTAGTTGTTGATAGGAAAGAAAAAAACCCAAATACTTTCCCTTCCCTCTCTCATTCGCCGCTTCAAAATCTTCTTTGGGAGCAATGTTATTCTTTATAGTTCAAATTCCAGGGTACCTTATGTTGTTGCTTTTTCAGTTCAACCCGGTCAGCCAAAACTTTCTCTTCTTATCTTCCTCCTGCACATTCTTTTCCAGTTGAGTTCTTCTTTGAGGTGGACATTTCTGACCACCGCTGCAACTTCCTTTGGGAAAGGGAGTAATGGCCAGCTGGGGAGGAGAGATGCAGCTCTTCTTGAGCCTGCTGGCAGTCTCCCTCCTCTGCACCATCTCTACGGGGTGGCTTAGCCCCAAAATCAGCCAGCTCAGGGCGCTCCAGTGGAGAGCAAGGATCGAAACCGTGCACAATCGCAAATTTTGGTCCGTCGCTGAAGAAGCTCAAACTGGAAGTCCGAAAAATTATTATTGTAACTCTTGATCTTGAGAGGAAGAACAAAGCAAAGAAACTGTTCTATATAATACAGTTTGATTCAAGACAGCCAACATTTACATTCTCACGCTATTACATTTGTGGAATTATAATACAATATATGCAAAAACTTTAATCTCTCATATTATTAGGGATACATTTCCAGATATAAATATATGGACAACACCAGGTAATGTATATATCTTGTTCCATCTTGTAGTTGCTCAAAAGTTTCTGCTTTTGACTGTTTGTTTTACTATGTAAAATGGATATTTTTTTTCAGTCGGAACATTATGTGCAATTGGAAAAGAAAATAGAAAGGAACCAGTAAATTGGCAGACACACAATTTTTCTAGGTTAATATATTAATGAATGAATAAAAATTAAAAAATCAAAAGTTTTCTGAAAATTAGTAAATTTTCCTCATTTATTTTTTTTACCAAATCAGTACAGTCCTCAACTTACAAAAACAATTGAGTCCAAAATTGTTAAACAGGACAGTTGTGAAGTGAATTTTACAACCTTTCGTGTCACAGTTTAGTAACACTATCGTTAAGTCAAACTGGCTTCCCCATTGATTTTGCTTGTGAGGTTACAAAAGGTGATTATAGGATCCCGGGACACTACAACTATCATAAATACATGCCAGTTGCCAAACATCCAAATTTTGATCATGTGATCATGGAGCTGCTGCAGGTGTAATAAGTGTGAAAAATGGTCATAAGCCACTTTTTCAGTGCTGTTCCAACTTCAAACAGGCACTAAAGAATGGTTGTATGCTGAGGGCCACCTATAAAATAAACTTTTCTCTCTTTCACCACTTTTCTGCTAGTTCAGTTCCATCAATAGTCATGATTTTTTTAAAGATGATGATAAATAGGCCACTTTGCTTAGCTATTATTCACTATGTAAAATATTAACACTGGAGTTTAAATAAGCTATAAATAGATTTAACTGGAATTGGCATTTCAGAGTTCAAGGTCAGCCCCTTCTCATTGTTATTTGATTAAATAAAATTATCATATTTCAGGATCAGTCTGTTATTTCATTTTGTTGCATTGCCTAGCATTCATGAAAATTTGGTAACACGTCATTGTCACTGATCAAAGTGCTGAAGACTTTCCCAACTAGTGGTAGATAGTAAATGGGATACATTTAGGTATACTATGACACATACAATGAAGGAAAAGCTACAGATTAACGTTTATGTAGTTTCCAGAAAATGGGCAATAAATTACAACTTTATTCCAAACTAAGCTCTATTGCGATCAACTTTATTTTCATCATTTTAATGCTGCTTCTACCTTTATACAGAAATACTAACTCTGCCCTTCAACTTGATTGTTCTGCCATTTATTGAAGCATGCAAAATTGCAGCTTTGTTGTCCAGAGCATTAGATCTCTTTTTTCCAAATGACGTTATTAGAGATTACAGTTAAAAAGAATAACTGTATAACCTTTTTCAAACTCCATTAGATTTCCTGAACATACCTGATACTTAAAGAACATTTCATAACATGAGAACATTGACTATATAATTCCTAGCAATTCATTGGTCATGTTTTATTGTAAAGAATGATTGGATGGTTTTAGTCTAAGAATCTTAACAAAACATTAGAAATCATACATGCACAGAAACTATTGTCCACAAGGCTGCAGAATAATTTTGGATGAAGATCTTCAATGAGATATAACACGCCACCTTTCACCCTAAACAGAGTTATCAAACTCAAGGTCCATGTGCCAGATTCAGCCTGCGGGTTGCTTAGATCTGGCCCATGGGGCTGCCCTGGAAACAGCAAAGGATCAGCTTGTGGTGCCTTTGCCAGCAGAAATGGAGCTCAAGAGTGCCACCTGTGGCCCCCTAAGCTCTGTTTTTGCTGGCAGAGGGCTGCAGGAGGATGTCATGGCTGAAAATGGAGCCGAGTGGGCCATGCACTACGCTCCTGAGCTCTGTCTTCACTGGCAGGAGGCTAGCAAAACAAAATAAAAGGAGAAATATTTCCTCTTTTCCATTTGAGCATGCAAGAAGGCACAGGAAAGGAGAAGGGAAAGAGGAAAGAAAAAGAAAAAGAAGAAATAATGGAATGAGAGCAAGGAAGGAAAAATAAGGAAAGAGGGGGAAGGAAGAGGAAAGAATGAAGAGGAAGGAAAAAGAAAAGGGAGGGAGGGAGGAAAGGAGGAAGGAAGGAAGGAAGGAAGGAAGGAAGGAAGGAAGGAAGGAAGGAAGGAAGGAAGGAAGGAAGGAAGGTAGATTATAATGAGAATGAGGGAGAGTCTGAGGGAAGTCCTGCCTTAGCACTTGGCCACCACAGATGCCCCCAACATGAGTGACATTGAGCTGGCCATGCCACTCGGGCCATGCCTACCCCACCCCAAATGTCAAACACAACCCTGATGCTGGCCTCAATGAAATCGAGTTTGACATCCCTGCCCTAGAAGTTTCTAACAGATAAATATGCGTAGGAAACAGTTTATCCATACTTTCTTTTAAGCATGGTAGTATAATAAACATCCTATGGAGATTTTCAATTATTCAGGTCATGGTTTTCCCAAAAGTGCTTTTCAAATTGGACTTTCTTGACCATGATAACTTGAAAATTAAACAACAAAACAGCAATCATAAAAGCAAGAGGCTTAGTAAGAATTAGTGTATGAGAATAATAAAAACAATAAATGCAAAAGATAGAATATATCAATGGTCCCCAACCTTTTTTGTACCAGGGACCAGTTTCACACAGAAACACTTTTTCAAGGACCGGGGGGAGGGGGGGAGGAGTCCGAGTTTGGTGGTTTGCTTGCAGACGTTTCATTACCTGACTAGGTAACATCTGATGTTGTTACCTAGTCGGGTAATAAAACGTCTGCAAGCAAACCACCAAGTTCAGGGAGCGCCAATGCCTCCTCATTGCAACCCTGAGCGACAGATATTCTCTTCTATTGGGACATTTAAAACGGAGGGTTTCAGCTGCAGATTCAGCAACTGCACCAGGCTGAGGAGCGCCTTCAAAACTGAGCGCTGGGCGGTGGTGGCCCACGGCTGTCTCCGCGGCTCAGGACAAGTCCCTGCAGGATGGCTGAGAAGCCCCGCCTCTCGGCCCTGCCTCCCTCAGCCTCATCCCTTAGGTGTCTCCCTCCCTCCCTCAGCCTCATCCCTCAGGTGTCTGCCTCGTTCCTCTCTCAGTCGCTCTCTCGCTCCTCCACCAGCCCAGGAAGAAACTGCTTCAAAGAAGCCGGCAGGGTGGCTTTTCCTGTCGGCGCAGCTCCTCCGAAGCGCCCGTTCACCCCCACCCCGCCGCCCGCAGTTCAATCCAACACTCCGTTCTGCCTGCCTGCCTTCGTTTCTGGTGGTTTCGGAGCAGCTTCGGCTGAGAAAAAGAGGCGAATAGTTATTATTCTCAGCCAAAGCTGCTCCAAAACCACCAGAAACAAAGGCAGGCAGGCAGAACGGAGCGCTGGATTGAACCGCGGGCGGCGGGGTGGGGGTGAACGGGCGCTTCAGAGGAGCTGCGCTCCGAAACCACCAGAAACGAAGGCAGGCAGGCAGAACGGAGCACTGGATTGAACCACGGGTGGCGGGGTGGGGGTGAACGGGCGCTTTGGAGGAGCTGCGCCGACAGGAAAAGCCACCCTGCCGGCTTCTTTGAAGCAGTTTCTTCCTGGGCTGGTGGAGGAGCGAGAGAGCGACTGAGAGAGGAACGAGGCTGGAGGAAACCGAAGCCACTGAGCCAGAGAGCAGGACAGGCTTTGGTTGCTTCCTCCCTCCCCTTCTTTCATTTGTGTCCTTGATCCCTGATCCCAGCAGCATTCACCGAAGGCGAAGAAAGCCGCCATTTTTATTTTATTTTTTATTTTTATTTTCTTTGCGGCCCGGTACAAAATGATCCACGGACCAGTACCGGTCCGCGGCCCGGTAGTTGGGGACCCCTGGAATATATAATAACAACACTTAAAAGTTAGGAAATAGTTGCTTTTAGCTGGTAGCTAGAAAATAACAACATAGAAAAGAGTTTGTGTCCAGAAAACTACACAGGTCAATGTTGTAATATACAGTAAAGAGGCCTGTCAGTAAGCATTACATCTAAAGGGCCTCTAAGAGCTTAATGAAGGCTTATAAAGGAAACAGCATCCTTCGTCATTAGCCAAGCTACAAGTGTTTCAGCTGAACAATGCCTGCAAATCACAGGCTCCACAAAATAAGTTATCATTTCCATTCTGAAAATGTGTTTTCTTGGGTATGACTGAGGGAGGCTGACAAACTGGGTTGTTTCTAAAGGAGAAATAACAAAATCTTGGAGGCAGTGGTTGGGGTCATTGGGTATGTTCATCTTGAAGATGAAAATACTCAGAAATTAGGGATTCCTATGCTGAGAAGTGAATTGAACAGGATTGTCCCTTCCAACTTTTTGATTCTATGACTCAGTGATTGGACTATCACTCTTGTACCCTTTTTTATTTATACTGTATAGCCCCTTTTCCTCCTCCTTCTCTTCTTCCTCCTTTCCTTCATATGAAAATCAGATAAGAGAAGTAGTTGTCTTTAAATGCTGTTGTCTGCTCACTCTAGTCATTCAATCCAGAATGGAGCTCATGCAATTTTCTCTTTTTCCTACTTGATATATACATGAAAAGATACATAAATAAAATATTAGGCACACACACACACACATACACTCACAGAGTAAACACATATGCACCCTCCTTGATTAGTCCATGGGATGAAACTGCACTCAGCCTGACAAGATGTGTAAATTAGAGTCATTTGAAAAATAAAATAAAATAATGAAGTGAAACAAAACACATAAAGTCAAATATCATTTTGACTTTAGTGGGATATTTGTTGAAGTAACATAATATTCTTTCTTTAGCCTTAGTGGAAAAGTTCTCTTTCTTAGCCATCTTGCAGTTTTTTGAAAGTGTTGGGCAACAAATTTCAACAGACTTTCTTTTCTAAATATAATTTTATAAAAACTTTTTAAAAATAAGATAAAAATGAATTGAAATTAATATAAAGCAAGAAAAAGAGGAAAAAAGATCAAAGAAAGAGCTTAGTGTACAAAAGTATCCATTCTCATACAAAAAACAGAAGGCTGTTCACATACAAAAAGTTGAATGTGTTTTTTCTGTTGATACCCACTGGCTTTTTCTTATATTGTGCACCCGTATGTTGGCCAGATCCTATCCTTGATCTTTTTATGCTATTTTGTCAGGAAGCCTAAGTGAGGATTCAAACATTGTTCTTCTCTCTTTCATGTGGCTTGTCTCCAGGGACAGTTTGATTGATTGGTCTCTTGACCAGTCCTGATCTTCATAAATACCTTTTAGGCCTTGGCACAATAGAAGAACATTTATAAAGAGTATTCTCAAAGTATCCAAAGGTTCCCTATGTAGCTTATCTCTCTCTTGCACATTACAGTGCATAAAGAAAATGTCTAGGTACTTCTTTTGCTCTTTCCCTCTGATATGTGAGTGATGTTATCATCATAGTATGAGCATTTCAACCAGTATCTCAGTGACGGTTCTGTTGCCATCTGCCTTTCCAGTTTTTTTTTTTCTCCCGTTCTTCCAAAATATACATCTGGGGATGTAAAATGCCATTGGCAAATTATTATTTTTTAAAAAATTACAAAGTGAATTAGGAATACTTGCAAATATGTCATCTCTGCAAAGATGTTGAATATAATTCACTTTGTGTTGACGTGACGCTAAATTGCTATCAGAACAGAAATTTGCTAAATCCTCAATTTTTTAAAGAACTGAGCAAGATCCTTACATTAATTTGTTCTTTTAAATAATTCTGCATTATGATACTACTTATCAGAGAACAGAAAAATTATGGTAGCCACAGTGAAGAATGGGAAAATATGAGATATTCAGCTGCATTTTGTTCAGTGCTTTTCTTTTATTAGCAGACATGCATTTAATGGTTGCTGGGGCATTATTGGTGTTGACATTTCGAAGGTACCAGGTTGCAAGATCTGATTGTAGATCTAAACAGACAAACATTAAACCTCATTTTGATTTTATACCTAATCAAAATACTATATATTTATATCATTTGGAACATTCTACTAAAAGTGGTATTCAGCTGTTACCAATAAGTTCTGATAAAATAATAACATTAGTGGAGACACAAATAATAACTCAGACAGAGACAATAAAAAGGGAAATAAAGTTTAAAAGTAATCAATAACTAAGCTATGAAAATGCCTAAAAGAGTAAAATCTACTTCATCTGCAAGTCAGTTTAGAAAAAAAAAATCTTTACCTAGCACAGGACAGACAATAGAGACTGAATTAACTTGGGAGAAGCTTCTACAAAAACCTTTCTATTTGCTGCCAAATAGGCCAGAACAAAGATAACTGTCTGTCCAGAGGCTCTTATAATATTTCATATAATCTAGCCACATACTGTATGTCATATAACAATACTTTGAATTAAGACTAAAACTCTACCTTTAGCCTTTGAAGTTCATCTAAGAAACAAACTGTTTCCAATGATTAGCCTTAGCAGAAAATTTCAACTAGCATTCAGCTACAGCCCATCATGGAGCACAACAGCACATTGCAATCCTGCAAACATGATGTAATGTTTCCCTTGGCATTCCAGAAACATATACCTCCATAATCTTAATTTAACCTGTTCTCCAAAATATAGATACTTTAAAGTTCACAGTCTTCACAGGGTTACAATTTGCATGGATTTTTCCTCAGTAAAGCCAACAGCTGACACTTCAATATCTGTCCAAAGACTGACCACTTTAAGAAAGTTGAAGGGCAGCAAGTCAGACATCATTATGATAGATCTTTGTTCTACCTTAACTATCCACCATCAGCTTTATCTGCTTAACTATGAACACTGTGGAATGAGTTAGGAGAACACATATCTAAAAATCCCTGCAATACTTCTTCCTACAATTCAGGTGTTATTTACACTCTAGATAATTTGGCTAAGCAATGTCATATGTTACATCTCTTCACTCTTGTTACATAGGTCTGTCTGATCCAAGTTACTATTCTTATACAGCAGGGGTGTCTAACTTAGGTTGTCACAGTGGCACCATGTGATGTATCGGGACTTTATTCCCCTTCACTAAACTGGGCCAGCAATTGATGCATCCGGCCCACAGGCTTGGAGTTTGACAGCCGTCTTATACAGGAACAAGTACTTGATGTAGTATTTTTCTTCTAATCATTGGCTGGAAACAGTCATTCAACCCCTTTTTTAATTGTGAGCATTCTTTGAAATCTCTTGCTTATAATAAGGATACTTTCTAGTAAGCATATTTAGGATCAAATGTCCTTAGTATTTTAAATATGATACCTCATTTTCATTATTGATATGGATCATGCAAAAATCTACTTTTTTTACTAAGCTTTTACTCTTCCTCCTATGAGGTATAATTCAAAAACATTGTTTAAAATGGATAAAAGTAAGTGCATTTACATTTATGTCAGTAAAATCATATTCTTAAAAAAAAAGACCTGATATATCAGGACCCTGTTGAAGTTAAGAACTGTACAGCTTGGAAGAAAAAAGGAGAAATGTGGGGAAAAAAGAGAACATGGATTGTACTGCTAATTTTTGACCAATTTTTGCTTCAGCCCTATCCACAGTGGCTCCTGGCTCCCAGCAGATTATCTGTGAGAACATTCAGGCTTTGTAAGGCCAGAAATCACTAATCTCTAATTGAGTTCTACATCTTAGTTTTCAGCAATGTTCAGACTACAAGATTTGAGAAAAGCACAAAACTACAACAGCTTTCATCCATTGTTTGTATAATGATTATCTTTCTATTTAGCCTAAAACGTTTAGGATTTAGAAAGGAAGAATTCATTCCTCTCTGAATTTGTATGATATCCTTGGAAATTTACTTATATTATTACTGATCTTAGGTCAAATACTATTAGTTTAATGTGAGTTTTTTGTTAATTATTGCTTTATTCTTTTATTTTGTTTCATGAATGACCCTGCATTTTTAAAAAGGGACAATGTTTCTACTTATATGTATCATGTTATATAATAAACTTTAGTTGTTTCCGTTCTCCCACAACTTAACTGTTTTTCCCTAACTAGGTCTAAACTATTAGTCTTTTACTGTAACAAACAAGTTGCTATAACTGTTTTTTATTATTTTAACAACTCTTTGTTCTTTTCCACAAATATATAATAGTTTTTGAAATGGCACAGCCAATTATAGACATTTATATCACAAATTCGGACTTCTTTTTTTGTCCAGCCCTACAGAGTAAGTTCATTTTTTCTTAAGTTATTTTGATTTGATCTTTCTCCAATATCACCAACAGTTGCCTTTTTGTCTATTTTCCTAAGAAGTTGGGATTTTCATTCTAATCTCCATAACTTTATGTATACCTGCTTACACTAAAATATATTGATTATTTCACTACCTATTTATCTACCTCACCTGAGTGTTTAATATTTATCATACTCAGGTTTGCCATCCTGAATAGTTTCCTTTATCAATGTGACAATTTCCACCTATTCCATATTTTGGTATTTGTCAGATCTGCTTTCAGGCTGTTTTTGATCCCCATGGGCTTAAAGAAAGCCTTGAAAACAAGGTTGCTGCTGGTACTAATGTTTTTTTTAATTTAGAAGCTGATTGTGTTAGTAATATTTCTGCTTGCTGTATCATTATCAATCATTTGAACATAAAGTTCACGACCCCCCAAAAAACCTATAGAAATCATCAATAGAATCCCCTGCTTAGTTTATAGTAGCTCTCACAAATGACCACCTAGCCTGTGTTTGAAAACCTCTAGTGAAGGATAACTCAACAAATCATGCAGTAGCATGTTCTAGTGACTGAAATGTTATTTGTAATCTTAATTCATTGGTTCTGGTGTTGCTTTTGGAATGTGTGATTAAGAGCATTGAAGTTGTTGTTAAGAAAAATCAGGCTTTTGATAGTGTGTGCCATACCATGGGCATTAATGAAACAGATGGTAAGGAAGAAGGTGAATTCAGACACAAAACAGGTTATGCAGAAAACAAACACAGGATCAATCAAAAAGAATGCAAATGTCTAAAGTATAAGGAATAAACAGGATAAACTAGAAATCCAAGTACACGTGTGCAGATATGATATTATTGCCATTACAGAAACTTAGTGGGATGAAACTGATAAATGAATATACATCTAGAGATATTTAATTTGTTTATAAGAAACAGACCTAATAAAAGAGGAGGTGGATATGTGGTATAATAAGCAAAACAATGATGAAAACTGTCTTGAATACATTTGGGAAAAAAGAATGACATTCCCATAGGTGTATACTACAGGCCACCCAACCAAACAGATGAAATAGATGAACTTTTTGTTAGTCAGTTAATAAAGGTATGTAGGAAGCACACCACAGTAGTATGGGGGACTTTAACTATCCTGACATTGACTGGGAAACAAACTTATTTATTTTATTTATTTGATTTGTCAATTGCTTACAAGATAATAGGTATAAGTATAAATATAGTTATGAATACATGAAATGGATACATATAAGAAAAATAAAAAGAAACAATAGGACGGGGCAGTAGGCACATTGGTGCGCTTATGCACGCTCCCTACAGACCTTTTAGGAAAGGGGTGAAGTCAATAGTAGACAGTCTAAGGTTAAAGTTTTGGGTTTTGGGGAAGAAACCACAGAGTCATGTAAAGTATTCCAGACATTGACCACTCTGTTGCTGAAGTCGTATTTCCTGCAATCAAGTTTGGTGCGATTTACCTTGAGTTTGTATCTATTGTGTGCTCTTGTGTTGTTATGGTTGAAGCTGAAATATTCATTGACAGGTAGGACATTGCAATGTAAGATTTTATATACTATACTTAGATCAGACTGAAGGAGGCATAGTTCTAGGTTTTTAGGTCTAGAATTTCAAGTCGGGTGGCATAAGGTATTCAGCAACGAGTAGAGGAGTGGAGAACTCTTCTTGTGAAATATTTCTGGACTTTCTCAAACTCTGCACCTAGTGGAAGATCAAAGATTCCTGAAAAACCTAGTAGATAACTTTGTCTGCCAAAAAGTAGAGAAGGAACTAGAAGTGAGCCATACTTAATTCTCACTAACAGAGATTAAATGATAGAAGACATTGAAGTTACAAGAACCTTGGGGAGGGGAGTGACCATGCAATATTGGAATTCAATATTATGCAAGCACAAGCAATAGAACAAAGTTAAACTAGAGTCTTGGACTTTAAGAGAGCTGATTTCAATAAACTTAGAGAGAGATTGGGAAGGATTCCATGGATGAAAAACTCCAAGGGAAAAACAACCAAGAAGCTTGGGAAATTTTGAAAAGTGAGATTATAAAAGCCCAGTCTAGCACAGTTCTAGTGAAGAAGAAAAATAAGAGAACTCAAAAGAAACCAACGTGGTTGCACAAAGAACTCTCTCATAAACTGAAAACCTTTCTTCTTTTAATGTAGTATTTATTTTGCTCTCAAAATTACAGGTATTTTAAAATACCATGAATAAAAACTCATAAGACTTTATTGAACAATGAATCAATATCAATGAATCATAGTTATATCACTCAAACTCAAGTGTTCATTTAATGACCATTTACACTTGTCAGAAAATGAATCTATACTCAGGTGCTGAGATACATTTTCTAATGTCTATTTTCCTCTTATGGCAAAATGAACATAAAAAACCAGGGATATCGGATACCTTTAAATAAAAAACTTTAATGTCTTATAAATAATATTTGTTTAATTAACTTTGTAAAATGCAGTCTTATAGTTAAATTATAAGGCTGCATCTCACAAAAATAACTTTGGATAGTCTATAACAAAGTGATAAACATAAAAAACAGTCATTAAACAATTAAAAAAAACATTCAAGAGATTAGATGCTAACAGCAAAAATGGAGCAACCTCAAGATCTCATAGTTTTTGAACAGCTGTTACATAAAGATCCTATAAGTCTAACATTATCTTAATGCTCTTAATAAAAACATGGCGTTGATGGTAAAAACATATCAAGGCAATTGATTTTTACCAGCAGCCATACAGTTTGATTTTATATTATGAATCAATACCCCTTTTCCCACAATAAAGCCTTCTCTTTTATTCAAAGAAAAACAAACCATTTATAAGTTATATATCTGTTTTATGTTTCTTTTATGTTTATAAAAAAAACCCACTCCATAGAAAATACTAAAAGATAAGCTAAAGTTATGTGATTACCTGTGGCAACCTGACGTAGCAAGCAGCTTCACCTGCTATTCTCTCTTTTAATTCCATATTTTTGAACTCCCAAAGAGCTCTACAAATTATCTCCTATTTCAGGTCCTCTAAGAGTGCACTCATTGTAACTAACTGACTCATAGAATTATAGAATCATAGAGTTGGAAGGGACCCAGGAGATCATCAAATTCAACTCTTGATAAAACTGCAGGATTCATTATACCATCCCTGATAGATGACTTATTCAGCCTCTGTTTGAAAACTTCCAGTGGAAGAGAATAAACTATTCCATAAAGTAGCTTTACTGATGGTTGTCTTCAACTGTATCAACTATTTTATTTATTTTTTGTTATTTTAAAATAAGGAGTAGGTTCACTTAAATTTCATTTAAAAGGGGACTTTTAAGCATATAATTTATCAGTGTATGAGTTGTGTTTATGGTAATCTGTTAAATGAATACTATGATAATTTCATATGTAAAATGTCAACTGTATGTCTTATGCTTATCTTACTGCACAATGCATCTGAACCAGATTTATTTTCTGAAATAAATAAACTTATTTTCTGAAAAGGATTTCTCCCTTTCCATCTCATCCCCCTAAATTAATTTGCATATAACAGGGGTCGCCAACATTTTGGACCTCAGGGACCACCAAACCCATAATTTTAGATCCCATGGACCACTAACCGGTTCTGTGGGTGTGGCCTAATTTGTGGGTGTGGCTTGGTGGTCATGTGACTGGCTGGGCATGGCTTGTATGTAAATATTATAAATATTTATATAAATATTTTTATAAAAAAAATATTTTTATAAAAAAAGAGCAACTTTTACCCAAAATCAGACAAAGCAGGCAGGCAGATTGAGTTGCTCACAGAATCACAGATTCATTAAGAGATCTATCTATCTGCTATTGGCTAGATCAGTCTGTCACATAAAATTTGCTTGCAAGCAAACTCATAAAATTTATTAGCAAGCAAACTCACAAAATTAACTCACAACACACCATGTATGTAAATATTGAATATTTTTATAAAAAAAGCAATTTTTACCCAAAATCAGGCAAAGTAGGCAGATTGAGTTGCTCACAGATCCATTCAGTGATCTATCTATCTGCCATCGGCTAGCTCAGTCTCTCAAAATTGCTTGCCGTGAGTCTGCACTGAATTTGCTTGCAAGCAAACCTTCAGTCCTAAGGGAAGCAAAGCCGAAAATCTAAAGACTAGCTAGAAAGCAAGAAATCCAACCATTTTCTGCTTCCTAGCTAATCTAAATCTCCCAGCACAGCAGAACAGATGATGGTCGGAAAAAGGAAAAATAGCAATTTTAGCAGGCAAGTTTGCCGGGTAAGGAGTGAGTGGGCAGGGAGCATTCCTGCGGGCCATGTGGGTGGCGCAGCCTTGTGTTTCTGCGCAGCCTGAATTAATTGCTTTGGGGAGGTGCTCTGGGAGTGAGATTTCTCTGCGGCCCACCAAAATTTTCTCAAGGCCCACCAGTGGGCCACAGCCCACCGAAACCTACACACATACAGAATAGCAAACAAAATATGCACCAAGGCCAGTGGTAAGTTAATAGCTGAAGGTAATGATGCAGAAAGATTATTGGAGTGATATTCCAAGCCAGAGTTTTGCCCTTGCACTGCAGAAAAGCTCTTGGATTTTTTAATTTTATGGCAGATAATTCTTATCAAAGTGGGTATAACTGTTGTAGTTATTAGCTGGCTGTGTTCTTTCTGAAAATGGAGGAAATGAGCAGTTCCAGATGTATACAGTTTCATTTTTATAGTGTACTCTACCATCCAAACTAGTTTCACCTTTGCCATAATAATGAACTAGATGGGGGCACTTAATTCTTGGGTATATCTTATACTTTCCTGATGAAAGAAAGTTCATGAAAACTGATGTTGTGGACATTCCAGAGTAATGGCTGAATTCAATTTATTTTACCTTAATTATACTAGCTGTAGCTGCTAAGAGCTGCAATAGTGCATTGGTTAGAATGTATTACTTACTGCAAGCTACTTCTGCTGCCTGCTGGCTGCCTGCAATTTGGCAGTTCAAATCTCACCAGGCTCGAGGTTGACTCAGCCTTCCATCCTTTTGAGGTCGGCAAGATGAGGACTCAGATTGTTGAGGGCAACATGCTGACTCTGTAAACCGCTTAGAGGGCTGTAAAAGCATGGTGAAGCTGTATGTAAGTCTAAGTGCTGTTGTTATTGCTATTGGAGTTGTAAACAGAGAGTACCACATTGTGCCCACTATGTTCTTTTCTAAACAAGAGGGCTAAGAAAGGAACTCATGAGTGCTACTTAAATTATCAGTAGGATGCATGACCCATCAAGTCGTACTATTCCTGTGCAATTAGCAATTAGAAAACAGAGCAAGGTACATACATACATATACATATACATATACATATACATATACATATACATATACATATACATATATATATATACATACATACATACATACATACATACATACATACATACATATATATAATCCAAAGATGAAGATCTTAAGTACAGGAAGAATAGAATGAAGCAGATCTTATGGAAGATAAGATTTCTCACACTCTAGCAGTGATGTTTTTAAATTCATTTATTGCTGATTTTAAGCTCAGCACTTACTCCATTCCAGATTAAAACAGCATATTTTGGTGATTAAAAGTTTAACACAGATGGGAAGTGTTTTCTTTTTTTCTTCGTATGTAAAACTGCTTCTAGCAT